ATCAGAAACAGTATAGAATGGATGTCGAATGTGACTGAGATGGAGTGGCGGTCCGCGGTGGGAGACATACCCCTGGAACTTATTAAAGCATTTGTCGCAGACTCGGACGGGAGTGGGATGCTTGGGTGGCAGGGCCAGCGATTTACTCGAGCAGTTCTGGCAAAAGCAGCCACCACAAGCCCTGCAATGATGCTACGCAATTGAAGAAGGAAATTGAAGAGTAATCTTGATTAGCATCGGCAGGGCGGCCTTGCACAAAGATCTAAAGTACCTTCCAGGGGATCCACGAAGTTGCTCCACAAGATTGGCAACACGATGAATCGACCCTGGGATGGAGAAAAACGTCAGATCGGAGGCACCGCTACACCATTCCGAGGAAACGAACGAGATGGAGGCGAAGGGGAAGCGCACCAGGCTACTTCCTTGGTGAAGTTGATGGGAGCATCAGAAGAGGGCGAGCTCATTCAGCAACTCCTGCCTTGATGCTTTATCTTATATCTTGATGTAATTTGATGAACACAGGTTTGCCACGTTTGCTCCGTGACTTTCGCTAATTCGTTTTGATGGACTTTCGCTGCTTTCCGCCGCAAGAAAGAGCCACACAATTTCTTCAATCTTTTCCGTAGTTTTCTTTTTATTTCTTAATAATCAATAAATTAGGCCAACCATCGCCACGAGGGTTCAGTTGAGGAAGAGGTAATACGAGGAAGAGATGGAACACTCGACTCCAGCGGCTCTGGCGGAGCAGGCCGCCGGGGGTTGGGGTGCGGCTCGACCTCGGTCGATCGGCGGTAGTGCCGAGGGGATGCCTCACGTGCGCACGGCTCCGAACGGTTGGAATCGAGTAAAGCGACCCTCCGTGGATGGAGAAGATCCTGCAACCCCCATCGAGGGTACCACACCTGACAGCCCAGAGACAAAAAGGAAACAATTGAAAGTGAATTTTGATGTCAATCACAGGGGGCTTGCGAGGTGAGATGAGCCGTCTGCTCTTGGTGACAGCCGACGACACTCTGCGAACAAGTGCTCGATCGATTTCGCGAAGAGACGACCCCACTCCTGGTACGCGCAACCCCTACCCGCAGCCTCGAGATTTGGCGTGTCCTGATGCAATCTGAACGCGAGAGCAGGTTCGCAGCTGGCTTCAGGGCCGGTAGCGCCGGGCTCGCCCCGGCTAGCCTTTGGGGCCAGCCCTCTTTCGCCCAGGAACGCTTCGAGCGACAGACTAGCTGGCGGTACGTCTCTCTCGCTCTCCTTGGCTTCGAGCTCTCGGTTCTTCGAGGCGCTGATGGACTCTCCTTTCGCTCCCCCGTGGGTGTGGATGCAGGCGAGAGAAAGTTCAGCTTGGGTTCACAGCGCGAAGCGGACATGAGAAGCAAGCAGGATCAACTGCAACATGGAGAGACAGAGGTGAAAGAGAAGAGCAAGCCGGAGCCTGCTGTTCGACGCGCCGAGGATGACGCTTACATCGCACTCAAGCGGGTACGCACTTCATTTCGTCGTCTTCTTCTCTAAACTTGAGGAAGGAACGTTCTTCCTCACCACCCCGTGTGCAGATTCTGTTGCAACCGTCTGCCAAGGTCATACTCGCTGCTTGCGATGCCCTAGCCGAGTCTGAACAGTACGAAAAGTTTCTAGGAGCCGCGGTCAGGTACGACAGCACTCAGGCTACAGCACTCCGGGTGAACATTCTAGTAAGCTCATATGCCTCGCTCGCGCGTTGCACGTGCGACAGGCTGTTTCATGCCAACGACCGGATACTGCCGCTCATGAAGCTGATGGTCACAAGGGAAGTCATGTACACATTGGATCCCTCCACACTCTTCCGCCAGGACAGCATCGCTACCAAGCTGCTCTCGGTCTACGCCAAGGAAGTGGGCATGGTCTATCTGCAGGTACCGTACTCGCTTTCCCGCGCTCCCCACATCCCCAGCCGCTCCATCATCTGACCTCCATCCGGTCCGTCTGTGCGTTCAGGCCTGCTTGCTGGGTCCGATGATGCGACTGTGCATGCACGATCCTTTTTCTCCAGAGGCTTTGGAGGTGTGCGCGCTCACTTCTTCGTGCTCGCCTCCCACCCCGCATTTGCTAACATTCGCTTGGTGTAGCTCGATCCGTTGAAACTGGTGGAGGGAGCGAATGCAGAGGCAAACGCTGAGAACTTGCAGGCGGTCGTGACCGATTTCCTGCAGTCCATCTACGCTCAGACCGTGAATTGTCCTCCGTACGACGCTCCTCGCGCACATCTCATAGTATAGGATGTGCCTCCTGTCTGCCTGCCTACGTGCCTGCTCGCTCACTCGCTCGCGTCTGCAGGGGCTTCCGGGAGATGGCCGGCTGTCTGCAGGAGGAAGTGGGGTCGAAGTTCCCCTCGTTCAAAACGCAGGCTGTCGCCGGCTTTCTCTTCCTTCGCTTCCTTTGCCCCGCCATGCTCAACCCCAAGGGCTACGGCATCATGGAGGGTACGAAGAACTCTCACATACAAGCCTCATGCGCAACGCCACGCCACACCGGCTGATTTGCTTTCTCTGCGTAGAAACGCCGAACCGTCCCGAGTTCCGAGCCCTCATCTTGGTTTCGAAGATCGTGCAGCAATTGGCGAACGGAGCACGGCCAGGGAAGCAGGACTTTATGCAGGTAAGGCTGGGTTGGGTCGGGTTGGGCCTGAGCCATGGCAGCGCACCTTCGTTCGTGGCTTTCTAACTCGTGTTGGGGGTCCCGCATTGTGATGTATGAATCAGGTCATGGAGAGCTACATCACAACTAAGCTGAGCGAAATGACCGAGTTCCTGTACGCCTACGCTGTACGTTTACTCTCAAGCGATGCCCTATGTACTGTACACAGCACATAGCTGACATGCAGGCAACAACAACAACAACACATACGACCCAGGTGAAATCCGAGATCAGGGAAGTGGATGAGGTATCGCCGAGCGTAACGCAAGGTGAGCGCACTCCCCGCCACACGTCCTCTTCTAATTACATTGCACTCTCGCTTCGCACAATTTCGAATGCTTACTCTCTCGCATCTTCTCGCACATCAGTGGAGAAAGAGGCCCTGGACGTGCTCCAAAAGGTGATGAAGTATAACATCCACAAGATAGGCCGCGTCATCGTCACATCGAACGAGGTTCGTTGTTTCTTCTCCTTCTTCTTCTTCTTTTCCCTCTGTATCGAACGCGAGCTGAGGTACATCATCTCTCGCCCTGCTGGCACATGCCAACGTAACACAGCAACGCAAGTCGTGGCGAAAGAACGTAGCGGACAACGCCGAGAAGCAGGGCTATCTCAAGAAGAAGGGCGAGATTTCGGTCACGTCGTCCTGGCGCACCCGGTGGTTCGTCCTCAAGAACCGATTCCTGTACTACTTCAAGAGCCCGCAGCATTCCACGTCGGCCGGAGCGATCCCCTTGGGCAAGTGCACGGTCAAGGCTGTCGAGCTCGAGGCCAAGGATAAAGACAAGGACAGCCAGGAGTTCTGCTTCGAAATCGTCACCAACTACAGGTACGGTTTCTCACGGCATGGCCCATCTTGCATGGTGTGGCATAGTTGCGTGTGGACCAGTGGTTCACTCACGCTTCGCGCATCAGGACCTATTGTCTCATGGCCGCTACCGAGTCGGAGCGACTAAAGTGGATCGAGGCGATCGAGGCCAAGATCAAGTCCACCGAAACCGTTCCGCTCTCTCCTGTGGTAGCTCCCCCCTCGTCGGTCGCCCAGCTGGTGCCAGAGCGTCGCGTGCAACTTGCATACGCTTGCCGGCTCACCCGTTTTGTCGTTGTCGCTTACCAGGCGCAGTCGTTGACCCCACTGTCGACGTCGGGCTCGTCGATCACGACGGCCAAGAAGGGTTACCTGATCAAGCGAGGCAACATGGTCAAGAACTGGTACGCACACTCCTATTATTTTTGTTACCAACTCTGGACATCGCGCGCACGCGACTTACTCTCAAGCGCAGGAAGAAGAGATGGTTCGTGTTGAAGGACCATCTCCTGTTCTACTACAAGACCCACACCGACCCCTAGTCCCAAGGGTGAGGTGCCCATCCAGCACTGCTTCGTGCGCCGCTCTGATCTCAAGTACGGGACCAAAGCCTCCAACAAAA